AGAGACTTACCCAAGAAGAGCTGAAGTTGTAATTGCTGCCAAAGGGATTTTTACAAAGTACAGAGTTAAAGGTCTGAACACTTGGTAATTTGAGATTTTCAGTTTTTTAAAAAATAAATAAAAACTCTGAATACAAGTTTTACTGTTATTATGGGTTACTGAGTATAGATTAATGGGCAAAATACCAGTTTTTTTTGTTTGAAATTAAATCTACAACACAGTAAATTGTGTTAATGGTGAAGGGGTCTGAACACTTTCTGCAGCCACTATAAATAAAACAGATTAAAATGATGTAGAAACTTCAGCAACAATATTTACACCATTACAAAAGTGGGGTTCTTCAAGGCAAATTTTCTGGCTGGTTAAATCCCTGTAGAAACGGGGCAACTGTGGTTCAGTGGGTAGAGCAGTCGTCTGAATCACGGTGCCTGCAGTTCACATGTCAAAGTATCCTTGGGCAAGACACTGAACCCCCAAGGTGCCCCCAATGGTTAGAGCCATCGGTGTGAGTTGGTGCCGCAGATAGCTGCCTCAGTTCTGTACCGGAAACAAATTCCATGTGTGTTAACATACTCAGCCAAATAAAGGTGACTATCCTTGACTATCCTTATTATTAAACTAATGGAAATCTCTGTGCCTCGTCATCTGTAGCTGCTCTGGTTGATGTCTCTGATTCACATGAGGTGGCTCTTGTGAACTCATCACAATGTCTATGGATATTGGAAATGAAAAGCGATCCAGCATCTGTGCGATTTTCATCTGGGGGACCCTGTGCTTATTCCTCCTGGGGGGAAAATAGGGCAGTACAGTAATGTTATAAAGTGAAGTTTGAATAAGTCTCCATGTAAATATGTGATCATTAAGAGCTCATACCTCTCCAGCTCATAGAGATCAAACTTCCAGCTGGTGTCAGGTTCACAAAAGTCCACTTCATAGCCTTTCTCCAAAGCCTGTTTAAAAAGTTGGATTTTTAAAATTAGGATTTAAACTAACTAAATAATAAAAAAATACTAATTGAAATGTGACATCACAACCTACCATTTTGACATATGGCTTCATTTCCCAGGCTTGGATATTTGTATTATCAATAATAATAGGAGACCGGCCATCATGCATGGCATCTTTAGCTGAAAGGATTAAATACACCAACAATGACTGAAATAATAAAATAAAAATCTTGTCAAACCACATTTCTTTGTCACCCCGGGATGCTCTCATACCGCAAACTAGAGTTGGGCAATGGACAATGCCATCGTCCATCACCAGTGGCTGACATACATTAAGAATCTATTCCTGTGTCAAGATGTGTTTCCCACTATTAAAACTGTGTTTCCAGGAGCCCTTTCCTCGGTTAGTGTTCAGCGTAGGGGAAACACATCTCAATGGGAGAACAGATATCAGCACAGAGCCAGCATTATGATTTACATCCCCCATATGAAAATAACTGTCATTAATCATTTAACCTGTACGAGCATTTAAGGAGACAGTACCTCTACTTTGGTTCCATTCATGTGCTGCTCCAAGAAGGCCTGGTTCGAAGCAGTAGCCATCTTTGTGAACAAAGTAATCATCTGTGCTCAAAATTAGCCCACTGGGACCAGTGGAAAGCAGTTCTCTGTGAGAAACAATTGGTTACAAAGTGTTTGTACAAAGAAAACAAAATGATAAGAATTATTTAAACTGTAACAAACAAATTTATGAAATTCACAATTACACAAACATGTACCTGGCCAGAGTTGACTTCCCAGATCCTGGTAATCCCCTCATCAAGATCAGCACCAAAGACGAATTGTATACATGAGTGTTGTCAGGGGGTTGGGAAAAGTCCTGAGATGGGTGACTGCATACATTCCAAGGTGGGAAACTAGGGAATGTTGGAAAATGCAATTCCTCTTGATGGTTTGACATGCCCAGTCTGCTCCAGTTGGGATTGATGTGTGGTAGTGGGAATGCAAATGAGGGTGGTGGGTGAAGGAATGGTGGTCTGTTCAGTGGTTGAGTATAATACCATGGACCCTGAGTGGGAGCATCTCTGCCAGAGCTCAGTTGCAGGCCTGGCCTTGGTCTTCTGTTGTAGTATGGTTCATTTTTATACCAGTGTGGCCACGGCGGCTGTTTCTGTCCACTGCTTTTCTGGTAGCCATCTGTTTCCGAAGGTTGGCTTGTATTACCAGTTTTCTCATGACTCACAGTCTGAGTCTCTTTGCGGGAAGATGTTTTAGAAGGTGTGGGTGGTTGAATAGGTGTATCAATCTTCTCAAGCTCTTTGTAAAATTCACTCAGTTTGTCTTCAATGTCACATTTTACTGTTGTTTCTGAACGAAATGCTGGACCAATGAATGCGGTGCTGGTGAGTCCTACTTCCTTTAATGCTCGCTCCCTTACACAGTCCATATTACTGTCAGCAGAATCACCTCTAAGATCTTCAGGACTTTGACCTGCGCCCACACACAAGTCTTCTATGCCAGGACAGGTCGCAGAGAAAGACATCTGTAAGAAAATAGATTACACATATATATTGACCAAAACTGTAACGGTTTCATTTTCGTGGTTGTTTTATTATTATCATCATCATCATCCTTTATTAGCAGACTCAAGGTCCATACAAAAAAAGAAATAAAAGAAAAAAAAGAAAGGATATAAAAGAAGAAAAAAAAATAAAAATCATAAAAGACATTTATACCAATGTTTCCACAGAGAGGATTGGTAACGTACTACACTAAAACCAGGATTAGCCAGCATCATTATAAGACTGTTCTCAGAGTTATTCACACGACAGATAAATCTGTACATCAGGTTTCTCATTAATGCCTGAAAGGTACTAACATGGACCTGTGAACACAACAGACTGGCGCTGGTGGACCTAGGCTTCTTAAGCAGAATCCTCAAGGCATCATTATAAGCAACTTTAAGTTTCTGTAAAGTAGCTACCTTATATTTACACCACAATGGGGCAGTATACAACGGTGTACAGTATGTTCTGAACAGATGAACTTTAACATTAGCAGAACACATGTGAAATTTCCTAACCAACATATTAGCTTGAGCATACAAAATGCGACACTGCCGATATATATCCTCATCATCAGAAAGCTGATCTGTAATGAAATGTCCTAAATATTTAGTTTTTCTACAGACACTCAACCTTTGTCCAGACAAACAAAAGTCTGGGAAACAAAGTTCTTTGTCCCCTTTAGTCCGACAGATCAGTACAACACTCTTTTCTGCATTATATTTCACATCATACTTCAATCCATAGTCCGAGCACACATTCAGCAGTTGCTGAAAACCAGCACTGCTGAGCGAAAGTATGGCCAAATCATCAGCATACATAAAATGATTTACAAGATTAGGGCCTATCATACATCCAGTGTTACATTTATTCAATTGTTCAAACAACTCATCCATATATAAGTTAAACAGGGCTGGTGACAGTAGCCCCCCCGGCGCACCCCATTACAAACACCAAACGAGGCTGAAATAGTCCCACCCCATTTAACCTGCATCTTCTGATTAGAGTACCAGTATGCCAAGATTCTCACAATGCTATCAGGAACCCCTTTTTTGCTTAATTTATCCAAAAGCTTAAAGTGATTAACCCTATCAAATGCCTTGGACGCATCAATAAAACCCATCAAGACCGAGGAGTTTTGTCTGAGGTACTTCTGTGCTACCTCCTTCAGACTGTAGATACACAGATCTGTCCCCAGCTTGGATTTAAAACCAAACTGATTATGTGTGGTTGTTATACGACACAGGCGATCAAGCAATATCTTAAGAACTTTAGATATAACACTGGCCAAAGCTATTGGCCTATAGTTATCCGGACTCCCAACTTTGCCAGCTTTGTCCTTCATAACAGGCACTAAGGTAACAGACAATAGAGAATCAGGTAGCAAACCATGAGTCATGAACCCAGAGAAGCACAAAGCAAGCAACACAGCAATCTTTGGGCTTGCATGCTTCAGATGTTCCGCTGTAATATTATC